ACAGATACTACAAAAACAGCTTTTAGACACATAGCTCTGATTCCTGCACAAATATATAAAAAAGTTTCAAAATGTATCAAATACTTTAGGGTTTATTCAGGGTATCTCAGAATTGAACGTGAAGCCGAAATGGGGTGATAGTACAGGTCTCGACTATCCTGAAAAATTTTAAAAAACCAATTTATCTCATGTTGTTTGGAAATTATGAGCTTTTGAGTGCAATCTAGAGCTTTTGTAAATTATAACAATTTTTCAGTTATTGTGATTAATTTCTATTACTTTTGTTCATTTGAACTTTGGAATCGGAACCGTGAATAGCATTTCTAGCACCACACTTGAAAATAACACAATTGATTCAAGTGTTTAGGAATTAAACTCTTTGTTGAACTATAACTTTACAAGGTTTTAAATCCGTCGACTTTATGAAGCCCAAAAATGTACAAAATGTTTTAGCAGTTTCATCAAAAGTTAGCAATTTTAGGCAGAAATTTGTGAAATGGTAAAAAAACTTGATTGTTTCATTAAAAAAAAAATAAAAAAAATAAAAACCTAAAACTGTTGCACTTAAAAGCTCATAATTTTCAAACAACGCGAGACAATTTTTTTTCTGGACAGTTACCCTTAATATCACCCGTTTCGTCTTGACGTTTACTTCTGAGACACCCTGTATAAAATTACACACACACATATATATATATATATATATACCTATACATATAATTTCACAGTTGTTCCTTCCACGTAGTTCATTTTGCCAAAGAAATGCAAATAAACAGCCAACACGGGCTTGTTCCACAAAACGAGTTTCTCTTACGTGAAAGAAAAATCTATTTGACGAATTCAACTTCAAAGAGTGGCTTTAGGCAGCAGACTGAATGATTAGTTTCAAATATTCTAGATATTTCCGGATTTAGGCTACAGCAAAGCGTGCATTTTCCCACATATAAGGAAGAGATAAAACCCGTGGTTTTCATTCGTTTTGTTGTATTATGTGAACTTATTCACAATGAGAAATAGAATTAAAATTAAATATACCCTTTATTTTATATCTCGTACAATTTCATTTATTATTATAATTCTTTGCATATTCATATTTGTCGTTTTGAATTGAATTTTCTGATTTAACAAGTTGTGATGTATCACACTTCGATGCGGCTAGAAACGGAAACAACAACGATCGATACAATTTCCTTTCATATCCCATCTGGAGTTTCATATCTAAACAATATATATGTATATATATATATATACATGTATATATGATATATATATATATAATATATATATATATATATATCTATATAATGTTATTTTCAGCATATAAAAAATATGAAAGATATAGTTGCAATTCACCAAAAACAACTCAACTCAGCAAAAAATATTCAGTTTTATTTAACAGCTATTTAACAGAAATACCTCATGATAATTTTATGATAATTATTGATTATTAATAAATTATTGAATACAATTAAATGATATTATATGTACCAGATATCGTTTTAAAATATGTGATAGTGATAGTCAAACTTTTTTTGATATTTTCTTTAAAAACAAATGCCAACAACTAAGCAATTGGATCATCATATTTTTCTTATTAAATGAATGGAGACATGTCACATCATTCAGCAAACCAAAACTAATCCAATGTTTATTTTTCTCTACTTATTTAATAAAATAAAATAATAAATAATAAAGCATATTCATTCTGTACATTTTGTCACTAGATGTGACATCGTTCAGTAGTTTACGCAAAAAAGAACAAAACAAAAATTGATATAGAACTACAGCAAACTTGAAACTTAAAATTGTAAAATTTAAGAAATATATGAGACTTTCATCATTTTTAATACAAGAATATGCTTCAAAGTCGAATAAAAAATCTATAAAACAAATAATTTGAAAAAACAGACTATTGGCCGTTCATTAATACCATGAGGTTTAAAAGGACAAAATTTAAATCGACAAAAATCACAAAATATCACGCAGCGGTCGAGCAGTCTAGTAACTGAATTTTTGAATCTAAAATCTATCGTTTTTCTAAAACATCCACTTTTTTATTTTTTGTAGGAAAATACAGGGAATGTTTGTTGGGGGAAGGGAGTTAACTTTAAATATCACCAAGTATTATCGAGGGAAGAAAGGCGTCCAAGAATTGCTCACGTGGTTAATGGATGCCCCAAAATAATATAAATTAAACCCAAATTATACTTTTCTATGTTTGTTTAGACGCATCAGCTATTAAATCATCTACTAATAAGTGAAAATAACGTATCATCAGTAATTTTTCGAATAAGAAGATGCTTTTATAGGAGTTTTTCTCCTTTCATTTTAAGAAATATCATGAAAACACCTATTTTTAACTCTCTATTATTTTGTGGTCATTTGATATTCTAAAAAACAACAGATAAAAATTGAGTCATTAAAATTTCCGAGTACAATAGAGATTGCACAAACAATTTTTAAGATAAATATATTTTATCACAAATTCCATTATACATCAACAGTATCTAGTCATACGAAGATTTAAAATTTGTCAAAGATATTCAACATAGATATATAAATCAATCCATAAAATTCTTTCCCATTGAATTCTTCTGCTTGTCGATCTATTGCCGAATCTCGCCGAAATATCTCTTGGCGTATTCGAGCAGATAAGGGGAAACAATATTTTACGCATGAGCGTTATTACTCTCATGTTATGGCTGTTTTTATTTTGAGCAATATAAACAGGCGTGTGTTATTTATAGATCAGGCCATGTCACCCGATTCAATTATTTGATCATCATATGACGCATTGTTATCATAACAAAACCTTTATATCGCGAACATATTTCGTAATTAGATAAGGCTGCTTGCAAACACTAATGCGGCTCACGACGATTCCCAAAGGCTACGGTTTCAAAAACCGAGGTATCCATATATTTGGTTTATCATATTAGAATTTTTCCATTAATTTTCAATATATATTAAAAATTAAATTTAAAAAAAATATAAATTCTAAATTTAAAAAAATTATTACAGACTAGTAAACTATAAATAGTTCATGCCATCGTGCCTCTCTTTCACCATTTGATATATCATTGCATATATACATACATAATTTTTAATTTTAAATAATATTTATTATTCTCTATTATAATTTCAAATGCGGAAAACATAATAATTATATTCAAGCATGTCTATAATAAATGTGTTTGTTGAATAATACATGTATTTTATATCTAATTACTGCTGCCATTTTAATAATTATTGCATTAGTTTTATGACGTCAAACTTTTGAAGAATTAGCGTAATTGTAAAGTATTTACGTAGGCAACTACTGATTCATATTGTAAAATATTTTTAATAAGATCGTGTCAGGTTCCATACATTTAATGAAATATTGAGAAGCTCACTTGCAAAAGGCGTTACGATATTTTGCGACTTGTTAGTCGATATAAACCTGTGGCTGGTGAATATTCTTTTTATTTTATTGAATAATTACAATCAAAATTGAATAGTATTTTATAAGCTACATTTTGCTAATTTATAATGAGCAAATTGTATTAGGGTAAGGTGGGGGTCAAGAATTTTTTTTTGCCAAAATTCTTGCAAATTCTAATTTGACTTTTAGCAATTATACTGTGAAAACCATACCAACTACATCAAAATAAATAACACATACCAAACAAACAACTATCTAACTAT